TTTAGTACATTTAAGTCTCACTTTTCGACTCAGCAAGGTCAGGTTCAAATCCAAAGAATGACCTTCACACTTTAGACTATACACAAACTAAAGATGCTTTTTACAAAAAAAAAAAAGGAAAAGAAAGAAAAGGAATGACCTTTACACTTTAGACTATACACCAACAAAATATGCTTTTTTTCCAAAAAATAAGGAATGGCCTTCACACTATAGACTATACCCAAACTAAAGATGTTTTTTTAAAGAAATAAGGAATGACCTTTACACTTTAGACTATACACCAACAAAAGATGCTTTTTCAAAAGAAGGAATGACCGTCACACATTAGACTATACACAAACTAAAGATGCTTTTTCAAAAAAATAAAGAAAAAAGCAATGACCTTCACACTTTAGACTATACACAAACTAAAAATGCTTTTTCAAAAAAATAACGAATGACCTTCACACTTTAGACCACACACAAACTAAAGATGCTTTTTCAAAAAAAATAAAGAAAAAAGCAATGACCTTCACACTTTAGACTATACACAAACTAAAGGTGCTATTTTTATAAAAGGAATGACCATCACACTTTAGATCATATACAAACTAAAGATGCCTTTTCAAAAGAAGTAATGACCTTCACACTTTAGACTATACACAAACTAAAGATATCTTTTCAAAAGAAGTAATGACCTTCACACTTTAAACTATATACAAACAAAGATGCTTTTTCAAAAGAAGGAATGACCTTCACATGTCAGATTATATACAAACTAAAGATATCTTTTCAAAAGAAGTAATGACCTTCACACTTTAGACTATATACAAACAAAGATGCTTTTTCAAAAGAAGGAATGACCTTCACATGTCAGATTATATACAAACAAAGATGCTTTTTCAAAAGAAGGAATGACCTTCACACTTTAGACTATACACAAACTAAAGATGCCTTTTCAAAAGAAGTAATGACTTTCACACTTTAGACTATACACAAACTAAAGATGTCTTTTCAAAAGAAGTAATGACCTTCACACGTCAGACTATACACAAACTAAAGATGCTTTTTCAAAAAAAAGGAATGGCCTTCACACTTAAGACCATACAAAAACTAAAGATGCTTTATCCAAAAAAAAAGGAATGACCTTCACACTTTAGACTATACACAAACTAAAGATGCTTTTTCAAAAGATGGATTGATTTTCACAATTTAGACCATACACAAACTAAAGATGCTTTTTCAAAATAAAAAAGGAATGACCTTCACACTTTAGACCATACAAAAACTAAAGATGCTTTTTTCCAATATAAAGGAATGGTCTTCACACTATAGACTATACACAAACTAAAGATGCTTTTTCAAAAAAGTAGAGAAAAAAGCAATGACCTTTACACTTTAGACTATACATCAACAAAAGATGTTTTTTCAAAAAATTAAAACTACAAAAACTAAAGATGCTTTTTCAAAAAAAAAGAAAGAAAAAGGAATGACCTTTACACATTAGACTATACACAAACTAAATTTTTTTTTAAAAAGGAATAACCATCACACTTTAGATCATATACAAACTAAAGATGCTTTTTTTTCCAAAAAATAAGGAATGACCTTCACACTATAGACTATGCACAAACTAAAGATGATTTAAAAAAAAAATAAGGAATGACCTTCACACTATAGACTATGCACAAACTAAAGATGATTT